GAGGTAACAAGAGTCCAAACCTCCCCCTGATGACTATGAGCGGTGGTCTACCATATGACCCAAATAAAATATTTATTTAATTTCTTGCGGAATTCTCTAAATCTCTAATTTAGTAAAAACTACTATTAGCATGAAATAAACAAGTTTTTCCAAATTCAAATTTCTTTAAAATAAATCCTCATAACGATAATAGTTATTCGAATTTTTAAACCAGCTTTTTTTATTATGAACCGTGAATCTCTCGTGTGACGTTTTCGCTTTGAACAAAACGCGTATTTAATAATATATTTTGAATATTCTAATAGGTAGACAAATGTCCGCAACGATACGCAGCCATCAAAGTTGAATACCTTCAATCAATAGTGTTTGAACTATAATGCAAGCTCGCTCAAAAAGGGCAAGGGGAACAATACAAACAGCGGGGCGGCCAACTGCGGGTAATTTACCAATTTATCCCAACTGGACTTAGCTAGAATGTATAACCACCAATGCTACATCTTTAGGCAAATTTCGGCCAAGTGGCTTTATTTACCCGACTTCAGTTTTAGGCTCGCAAAAATATTTTTTCTATATACTACCCAATGTCAGCCAAAACTTATAATTATAAATTTAACCTCAACGGAACAGTTGGAGATACAAAGAGCTTAAACTACCTACATTTAAGTCCTTTAGTAGTCTTCGCAGCTGTTTTTTAAAATTACTTTAATGTTGCAAAATCGAATACCACTGTGGATAAATACAGGTATGATTAAACACAACTAGAAGTCTGCCAACCTACAGAGATATTTTTATACAAATAAAAGTATTCTAGTCTAATTCCATTATTCTATTGGCGAGGCAGTATTTCACTAGACATGACAGCCATCCTGCTCAGTGCAAATATTTGTATGCAATAAAATTAAAATAAATTTATTACCAAATGTTTTCTAGAATCGCTATCGCTCCAACTTTAATTTTTCGCAGTAACCCAGTAGTATAACAGAGCTAAATCAGTATTGGTTGTACTAAATAAAATACTCACATCATTACATCACACCAACAGCCTTTAATAGTCCACTGCTGGACATAGGCCTCTCCTTAGAAAGGAGGTTTTGGTCTACTATACCACGCTGGCCAGATGGTTTGGTATAGGGTTGGTGTCAAGTTTTCCTTCTCTCTGCAGTGCTGTTGTTCTGCGTATTTTTTCCCCTTAGTCGGCTCTAACAACACCCACTGGATGAACAGGGGTGGTGACACTCTGTATTCTTAATTCGTCAATAAATACACAAACTACGAAAATTTAGTCTAGTCAAAGTCTAGTTAAATTGTATGACGTTCTTAGTTTCTGTATTATCACCAGACAAACTGAAGGATATTCAAACAGAAGTAAGCATACAGTTGATGTAAAACTGACGGTCCCTAACCGTAAATATGAAATTGTACTTTGAGTTTATGCATATTTAGCGCTTTAACTAAATCTGAAAGATTTATGATATTGTATGTTTTAGTTTGCAATGTTAGTATAAGTATAGTAACAGTTAGCTACACAACAAAGGGTTCATTCATTTGTACGTAAGGTAATTTATAAGCAGGATTTTTTTGCTAGGTACATAGTGATGATCTTCCTGTGAAACTATCTGATGGGACTCACAGATTTTTGATACAGGGGCAAATTAGCAGAGCGGTCACCAGAGGGCAAAGTGCGTGTTTATTTCACATTAACTAGCTCTGGACAGAGAGCGCGTGGTTAAGAATTCAGAGCGGACCAATTGGGACTCTGAACCATCGGGTGACCGCTTTGTTAGTTTTCGTTTTGAGTTTGTTTTTATGCACTCATTTTTCTTAAATTGAAATGTTAATTAATATTATTATTATTACTAAAGAAAGTGACTACCATTGCCCATGGACTGGGCTAGTTATAGTGAATAATATAAAATAATATAATATTCTACCACATTTACACAATGCCATTTCGTTCCAAACTAAGCAGAGCTTGTACTATGGGTACTACAGGTGCAATACATACATACTGTAGATATATTATACATAGAAACATCCAGAGCAAATCAAACATTACATGTTAATGTACAAATATTTGACTAAAGCGGGAAATGAACTCGTGACCTTTGGCGCTGCAGTCCGTTACGCACACCTACAATCCAGTGTTTTAATTTAAGCTGATTGTAAAATATTAAATGCCCTTTTCAAAATATTGCTCTTTTTTCGAAAAAATTGGGTACGTAATGAGTAAATTACAATAACCTTTTTTAATTTTTAAAAATGTATCTTCATTTCCTTTTTACATACTGTGTCCTTCCAAGGAGACAGGTTCAGCTTACCGATTTTAGACGAACTGCAATCTTCTAGTGGATTCCTGAAAATAAAAGCATATGAGGTAAGTAAAATCCTTGTAAGTTTTGTTTCAGTTTTCGAACCTTTTTGGATCACATGAACTTGGAAAGTGGGATAGAGTCCGATTAATACATATACACACACACACACATATATATATATATATATGTGTGTGTGTGTGTCACTTTTCACGAAAGAACTCCATCGCTTCTCAAGATCGCAAGGGTTCTTTAGCAGTTAAACCTACTTAAGTAGAAACCATGCTACATATCCAATAAGTGAAGACCTGTGCAATATCTATCACTACATTATCATCAATCATCATCATCATTAACAGCGTTTAACAGTCCGCTGCTGGACATAGGCCTCTCTTTAAAAAGGAGTTTGTGGTCTACTTTATCACTCTGGCCAGACGGGTTGGTATGGGGTTTGTGTCAAGTTTTCCTTCTCTTGGCAACGCTGTTATTCTTGTTTGCTCATTTAGTTGGCTCTTACGAAACCCACGTAATGAATAATTACAGTGACACTCCGTATTTTTAATTCGCTCCTCTACTGCTCCTCTTTGAGTGAAATTGTTACTTCAGTATTGTCATAGTTATGCTCTATTTTATTTAAGATCGAGGGTTATTATAAAAGAAAATTAATGAAGATAAGAACTCTGGTTACATTAAATACCTACTAACAATTCTATTTAAAAACAAAACAAAATATTTACTTCTTTCTATGAATGGAGTAAAACGCTCTTGGTTGTATCTTATGAATAGAATCTTCTTGGGTACACAGAACACCAGCTACTGTCACGTTACCTGCTTCACGTTGTTCTAGAATTAGTTAAAAAAGAAAAAAAAAAGATTAATTACTTAATGTATTGGTTACTGGTACTGGTTACTGGTACTTATTACAAAATGGGGAAATATCATAAATATAGATTACCCGAAACAAACAGGCAGGCGCAGGCCTGGGCCTCCGTCCTCCATAAGCGCAGGCCTGGGGGTGACAGGTGAGGCTATCTGTCACCCTAGCAGAAGCAGGCCGGGGTGGCGGCGACCGCGTTGCGTAGCGCGCTCGCTTCCAGGGAGCAGAGGGAACATGGGGTTCCCACACGGGGTGGGGTCGTCTACTTGTTGTAGATGGCCCGAGGTATGTCGGGGCACCAGGGACTTCCTTTCTAGGGTATACCGGGTTCCCCGGCTATTAGTACCCGAGACTGCGTGCGGTTTTAGTCGGTTCGAGTCCGACATGCCACCGATAGGTGGTATCCGAGGGGATTTCCGCACGGGAAAAAAAAGGTGTAATCTATAACATCGTAAACAGGTTTTGGCTAGTTTCGTTACGGTCAGTCATTTGCCTGACCGCAAATCTTGGCAGTATGATCCAACCAAAAAACTCCAAATAGAAACCACAATCGTTGAATGGGGAATAAGCATTTCAGAGGTATGTAATATATTAAATACCTATCGTGACGCGTTAATTTCTGTAAACATAACGACGACCGAATGGCGTAGTGGTTTGTGTAACGGATTGCGGACGGATTGTTCGATTCCCGCTCAAGTCAAACATTTGTGTGCATGAACATTTAATGTTTGATTTGGTCTGGGTGTTTCTATGTATAATAAGTATGTATTTAGCAAAAAAAAGTATATATTAATTTATATCAGTTGTTTAGTACCCATAGTACAAGCTCTGCTTAGCTTGGGACTAGATGGCGTTGTGTGAATGTGCGTTAATATTATAATATTATTATAAATTTTATATCAAAGCTTACCAAAATTAACAAATCCGAGAATTGATATTAATATTGACCGGCTTTTATAGAACTATATGTGAAGTTATTCTGGCCATTTTGAAGTTTGTTTTATTTAACGTTTACGTACCTTATCCATAGTTAATTATCAAACTAAGTTTAATTACACTCACAACTCCAGGGTTGTATGTACAATAAACTATTCATACAAGAACCAACAAGATAATTACTGAGGTTTGTACAAAACCCCCAGGGCGCGGGTACTACGAGTAGTTGCACTTGTCCAGATTTTTAACGCTAATGATTTTATTTGTAACTTACACTTTGTTTTACGGTATTTTTTCATGTTGTGCGTTTTAATAACCATTTTAATAAAAGGAGAAGGATTTCAATTGTCTAGGACCACCGTAATTTTTGGAGCGATTTGCAAAATCCCTTTTTTTTATTCGGGAAGTATACTTTTCATTTGGTTACATTTCAATTTGAAGAAGAAATACCACCTTGGAGGTATTATTTTCAAATTTAAGAATAAAATAATACAATTTTATTACAATTCATCATGGTAAAATTTAGTTATAAACTAGCTGAGACCCGCGGTGTTACCCGCGTTTGTTGTTATAACCGCGGGCAACGCCGCGGGGCGAAGCTAGTCTAAAAAAAGTAGCCTAAGTTACTCCTTATGTCATCAGCTATCTGCCAGTGAAATTCCCGTCGAAATCGGTCCAGCCGTTCCAGAGATTACCCGGAACAAACAGACAGACAGACAAAAATTGAAAAAAATGTTATGTTATTTTGGCATATGTACCGTGTAACTCTCCAGACACTCCAATTTTATTTATTTGTATAGATAATGAGAATTCAAAAAATATCATTTACCTCTTCACTAATGACATCTTTTAAATCATCAAAACATTTATGTTGTTTCTTAGTGCAGAATTCCCTGTACTTTATCGGGAGGGAATCCGAAGTATCTTCCCTTTCGTAGATCATTCGTTGCTACATCAGATGCAAAATTGTCACCACCAAGAACTCTTTCTGCCATCTGTAACCAAGGATCAAAGTTTTTACTGACCTCATGTGTAAAAAGCACGGTGAAGTTATTTTCAAGAATTTGAACTACTTGTTATTGATGTGTTCATGAACAGCCTTCAATTTTCCACTGCTGGACATAGACCTCTCCTTAGAAAGGAGGTTTTAGCCTACTATAGGGGGGGGGAGGGGGGGGGGGGTTGGTATAGGGTTTGTGTCAAGTTTTCCTTCTCTTTGCAGTGCTGTTGTCCTGCGTAGTTTGCTCCCTTAGTCGGCTCTTAAGACACCCACGGGATGAATAGGGGTGGTGACACTCCGTATTCTTAATCCGTCACCACACGGATAAGTGAATTGAAGTGTTACTTACATCAAAATCAATAGTAAAATCAAACTTAGCGGACCCTTGTCTGAAACTTCCTCTTAAAGCTTCAGGTATGTTTTCACCGTTGCTCAAATATCCTGTTCTACCTGTGTGGTTGACCAAAGGAAAGGTCTTTAAGAATACACCGTCTTTGTCAAATGACCTGGAATAATATTGTAATATAAACTGTGAGAATTCTATGTTTCATATTCATTGAGACTTTTTCGAAGTTATGTCAAAAAAAATTTGTCAGTTTAAAGTCTTACTAAAATAAGTGTATTCAGCCTAAGCAGTTTGCTCTCACGTTGTTTTTATACAACAAGTACATCCCGACTTCCACTAAGTCTCCTCTTTTTTTTGTGTGTGCGGAAATCCCCTCGAATAGTACCCACCTGGTGGTTATGTCGGACATGAACCGACCAAAAAGCGCACGGCGTTTTGGGTATCAGGTGTACCCTATGAAGTCTTTCTTTTTCTTAGCTTAGAAATACTAAACCGCTTCAAACCAATAATAATATAGTAATAAATAAACCCCTAATTTAGTAAACTCAACTAAATCCGGTGTCATAATTTAGTAGGCACTAATACGACTTCAAGCAACCAACCCGTCTGGCCAGCGTGGTTTAGTATGCTGAAACCTCGTTTCTAAGGAGAGGCCTATCTCCAGCAGGAAACTATTAAATGCTGTTAATGTGATGTGATGAACGCTATTTTACCAGTGTTGGGTACTAAACTGGTTTACAGCATAGAATTAAGACAAGCACCTATTTTTAAAAAGCAACTCAAATCACGTAGTTCTCTATGGTATAATTTATCTATAATATGTATGTATTTAGAAATATGTAAGTGTGTTTATCAGCAGTCTGGTTCCATAGTACAGGCTCTGCCTAGTTTGGGATTAGACAGCCGTGTGAGATTAATATTCCCGACTTGTAAAAATATCTGAAAAGATGTACTTGCAGAAATAAATATCATTTCATTCCATTATATATATATTATATTAATATTAATTGAGTTGTAAATAGAATTTAAAGTAAGTAAAACTGGACTTAAAGATATACACTAAAGGTAGACCAAGCAGGAGGCTTAATCCCTCCTTATCTTTAATACTTAAAAAGTGGCAAGGTTGTCCCTCTTTAGTTGCAGATATCCATGTGCAGCGAATACCATCAGATAGTCCGTCTGATCATTTGCTACCTATACATTAAAATATACGCTCTTGTTCAGATAAAAGATAGCTGTTTCAAAATAATACTAACTTCAGTTTAGTTTCCTGAATTGTGTGCAACCATCGTTGTATCGTTTCGTTGTACATGTCTCTGAAGGAACCAGATGATCTTGAAATTATTCCATCCTTGATCATGTTATTTTAACCTGTTGGATAATACATTTTGTACCATTTTTCGGCAATATTTAATCGTTAAGAGCTAAGTGAATACTTTAAGCCTGCCCAGTAATTTATTTATCTATGTTAATTACGAATATTTAGTTTATTTATTTCTCAAATAAGTAGAGCAGGTAAGGGTCCATGGGCAGCGGTACTGACTTACTATTTAGGTTCTGCTCGTTTGCTCCCTTGTACCATATCTTGTACTATCTCATAACCTTTTTAGATACTTTTACAAGTCAGATCACATCGACAGCCCTCAATAGTCCACTGCTGGACATAGGCCTCTCCTTTGAAAGGAGGTTTCGGCCTACTATACCACGCTGGCCAAACAGGTATAAGGTTTGTGTCAAGTTTTCCTTCCTTTGCGCAGAGCTGTTGTCCTGTGTACTTTACTCTCTTAGTCGGCTTTTACGACATCTTTGGATGAATAGGGGTGGTGACACTCCATATTCCTAATCCGTTACCACACGTACAGACAGATACTTTTGATTATTATTTAAAATTGTCTCAATAATTGTTGAGTGCTTTTTGAGAAACAGATATTGAATTTAAACTAGATGTTAAATGCAATACATGCTTAATTTTTTTTCTACCTCAATTTTTTATGTAAAATGATAATTTTATCAAAAAGTTTTAGTCATTTAAAGAAAGAGAATAGTTCAAAGATTTGTAAAGGGCTCAGTCACACACAAGTACTAGTTAAAAAGGAACTTAAATAAGGAAAAAATAATCAGCGAGGTAAGCCTACATCGGTGTAGTTGCTGAACAAGTTTAACGGATAAATAAAAACGTACGTATGAAAAGATATGAGAGAGAAGAAAAGAAAACAGCAGCATACCGAGTAATACAGGCAGAAGTTCATAGAGATATATCTGATTTTGAATAGCAATGTTGATGTCCCTTGCTGTACAGAAGAGACGCTCATCATCCCAGCAGGGGTTCAGTTTATGAAGCATCTCGGCTATATAATTATGTTGTCTATAGAATATGATTAGAAATAAAGATGGCCCGAGGGATCTGAAATTAAAGAAAATTACATGAAATAAAATTTTATTATGGTTTTCGATTTTTAATACAAGTGCACAGATGGCGTAGTTGTTTAAGCGGTCGTCACTACTACGCGAGTGTTGTGGATCCGATCCCCACCATGGGACGATACTTTGTGTAATCCATAAATTGTTGTTCTGAGTCTGGGTGTTCTTTGTGTTCGTTTTATGTATGTTTGTAAAGTTCCCTCGACCCAGGATATATCGCTAATGCGGGAGTTTTCTTTTAAAAAAGAAAAAATAAAGGAAATTGAAACCTTGTATATATATATATATATATATATATATATATATATATATATATAGGTAATTAAATATAGTATTTACTTTATAAAAAACAGTGGCACTCCGGGAATGAAGACAGAACTGAAAACATGTTTTTTTTTGGTTATAACAGGTTTTGTTTCGTTTTTTCGATTCGAAAGGTTCTACATGAAAATGTACGTATATACACAATATATATTAATATTATCAATGTATATCAAGCTAAACTCAACTCTCAAGCGGGGACAAACGGGGCCAATATATGTAGATACTTATATACAGAGGTGTCGGTAACGGTAACAGTGTCGTGAGTTTAATGGTTTTAAACAATCTCAAAAAAATAAATCTTTTGTTTGTTGTTCAAAAATGCCCAACGCCCCTATAGAAGTTTTCACTTTAATAAATAATTGGAAAAATCTAATTAATTTATTAATATTGTTGTTTCACGATTTAATTTAAACTTCAAAATTGAAGTTTTAATTACTTTCTTTTTAATGTTTTACTTGTCGGTATTTTTTCTTTACTATTAAGTAGATCTAATGTACTCACTTAAATATGTAGATATAGATATATATATATACATATACAGGTCATATTGGTTATCTTCCTTTTTGCCGCCGCAGTGGGCATAGAAGTTAGGTGAAAGAAAGTTCAACTAGCCAAGATAACAGTAACGCAGAAACAAATCAAATAGATGAATCACAGAAATAAACTTACATACATACACATCCATTTAAGAGCTACGATGCCACAGACACACACGTCAAACTAATAACACCCCTCACTGAACACCAAAACTTACTGTAAATAAAACAAAGCGTTTCCTTAGGGTATCGATTTGAACGACAGTTTTTCTTATTGTATGCCTCCGAGTGATTACCAGGCGGGAATACTTTTCCACTTTCTTCAAAAATTTGCGAGTCAACTTTGAGTAAACCTTTTGAAAAAGTTCTCAAGTGATTAACCGAATCCGGATTGGAGCTGTAGATAGCAGATAGATCGAAGGCAGGAGTTGCGTACACAATCTGTAAGAGCAGGGACCAGTCAGTTACTTCAATAATAATAATATTTTCGGACATCTGACTCACAACGCCAAATTTCAAATTAAGCAGAACTTGTACTATGATATCTGTGAAATTACATATTAAATATAGAAAACACTCAAACTTAGAAACAAATATTTGGAGAACATACAAATATTTGGTCCGACCCGGGACCCGCAGTCGCATAAGCTACTTCACTAGCGAGGTAGCAAAATGAACTTGTGCGTAAATTGAATTAAATTTAACAATACAATTGTATATTAACATCATGAAACCTAGTATGTGTACTACACTATATAAAAAACCAGTTCAAAAACGTAGTAACTCGCCTTTACCACTTCCAAACCTAGCAAGTCACATGCACTTTCTTTATTAGGTTTTAATATGGTAACTGCTCCTGCGATCTGCGTGGTGACGGATTAAGAATACAGAGCGTCACCACCCCTATTCATCCCCTATTCAACCCGTCTGGCCAGCGTGGTATGGTAAGCCAAAACCTACTTTCTAAAAAGAGGCCTATGTCCAGCAGTGGACTGTTATAGGCTGTTGATGTGATGTGACAGAGCTTGGACTAGCGTTCATATTTAAGAATTGAAAATCAAGAATAACAAGTCTGTAGCTGTTTTGTCTCAGTCCGAACTGCACTGTCCACGAATGCAATGTGCGAAGTGTATTTCGGGGATATGGAATTGTCCCCGCTAAGTCAAGCTTAAACGTCAATGGCTCGCGATGCTGCTCGCTCTGTGTGTTCCCACAACCAGCAGCATCGTAAGCAGGTGTATTTTAAGTAACTTATATTTTCGACAATATTTAAATAGCATGAATTTTGTGAGGTTGTTAAACTCCTGAATAAATTAATAAGAATTGAAATAATATTAAAATTTATTCGTCATCATCAACAGCCTTTACTAGTCCACTGCTGGACATAGGCCTCTCCTTAGAAAGGAGGTTTTGGCCTAAAAGGTATTATTGTACATTAATATACACTATTGGGTTATTCGTTTCATTATATAATTGAACTTGCTTTCTTGTTGCCGGTTTCCCAGAATATACATCATATATGCATCCCAGAATAGCATTCAAGAAACTGAAAGTACTAAAAAAAGTAATGAATACCTTCATACTGTATAGATACAGGTCTAATGGGTTTCTTGACAAAAAATACTAATAAGGAATATAGTACAGAAGGTAATAAAGATAATTTTATTAATTACTTGATAGCGTGTATAAAGTGAGTTACGTAGATAAATACAATTAACTCTTTGAAACCTATAATCGAAATACAGGGTTGGACTATATTTACTTTTTATATTGTTCAGCCTAACTATGTGTTTTAAAAAATATATAAAATTTAAGGACTAAACAAACAAACTACTCAGGAAAACAGAACTACAAAGAGAAGGAAAATATGACAAAAACCCTAAAAAACCTCCTTTCTAAGAACAGGCCTATGTCCAGCAGTGGACTATTAAAGGCTGATGATGATAATAAAATTTAATAAAACATTGCTATAGAAGATCTATATTTGACACGTGGCCCGTACGGCAGGCGTGAAAACTAGTGGTAAGCAATTTTTTTGTTGTCTTTCACCGAAATTTAAGCACCCATTTTTTGACCTTGGTGGGAAATAAACTTACGACCTCTGGCTTAGCAGTCAGTTTCGTTAATCAGGACCGTCGGTTATGCTGAAGCGAGACTGATATGAGGATACGCTCCGCTACTGGATCAATCTGTTTTACTACTAGCAGAATTTCTTCTGTTGCCTAGTTGCATAGCAACAACAGTTTCGATGCGATCAGTTAGCAGGATATCAATGTTACTTTTAATATGCCCTGAAAATAATACGAGGTCTATCAAACGAAAGCGTCGTAGGCATAAACTTGAGGTAGATAAATAGTTAAAATATATCTCCCCTAACAAGGGGTCACACAACAAACATTTAAAATCGAATCCATCACCTCATTGCAAATCTAAAACTTTCTCAAATACTCTTCGTCACACCCTAGGAACTGCTACCCAAAAGATTATGGTAAAATCACACTTATGATAAGTCACATAAAGTCCAATGAAACTGTAAATATAATTGGCGATATAACAAAGTTACTCCTGCAGATAAGTCAAGCGAATTTATACTTTATTTCTTTGGAGTAAAGAAATTTTGCTTTTTAAAAGCAGCTGGTATGTCAGTGGACCCTCATTGTATTGTTTGGGAAGACGTTTAGGAAGAATGTCGCAGCGATTTCGGATATGTCAGTCGTGGGCTGTCACATCATGTGGTGGAGTGTTGGGGAGCATGGGGCCCTGAAGTTATCGCTGTCAAAAGTTTTATGCATACTATTTGTCGCTCTGGATATTACATCTGGGCCTTAATTCTGCTGTTTTAATATCGTATCAATAGACTGTCGATAGAATATCGTCGAAATAGTTTTGCACTTTACCTATTCTACTAGCTATGTAAGACCAATGGCTTCCCGTTGACTTATCAATGAACTGATCGATTTCTAAGTGTGTTTTATCGATGTCTAAGTGGTTTGGTAAACGGTACATTTTAAGTTTGTTAGGAAATTTTATATTTAGTTTTCCAGATTTGGCAATGTTGTTAATATCACAATTGATAAGC